AGCGCTTGAAAAATTAGTGAATCGTTTGAACTCCGATTTCGCGCGGGTTTTTCATCGCGTTGTTTTCCAACTTTATAAGTTGAATTTGCATATTTGATGATTTGTTTCAGTAAGTCCATACCGAAAGGTATCAGAATCTGCCAAGTTGTGTTTTACGTTGCATGTGACCTTTAAGAAGTAGGGTTGATACAAACTTTATGTAACTTTTGTCAAATTACTATGAATGAAACAAAGACACATATTGTTTCAGTATATATGTTCTGCAAGTGAATATATGTATATGTCTTTTGGACCATTTCAACAGTTTGACACACATTTACAAACATCCATTGAACACAAAATGAAGGCAGGTCTCATGACGAATACACTTGCCACTTCTCTTCCTGTTGTATCGTTCATATAACTACACAGATCTAGACACACATACACACCTTGCAACACTTCCATTTTACATAGACATAACTTACATGCGATTGATTCTCAGAACGGCCGCCGGGTCCGCCTGTCCTCTCAATCTTCTTTGATTCACTTGCTCGATGACAGTATGCGAAAATGAAGGAATCGTCGTTACAGTCAAGCTGGCACGTCTTCATGTCAATGTTTCTAAAATGATTGCCCTCTCCTTCATGTTCCCTGTCATCTTAAGTCCACATTCCTTTGAGCTGCATGTGGAAAGAACACACATGTAAACGGCTACTGCTAAGGCACTCTGGAGACAGTTATTTAAACAGAATGGCATCATCTTGAAGTAATCACAGAAGAACACAGGGACTGAGCACTGGTTAGACGAATAAGAGAGGCTGCTGAACAACGGTTCAGAGATCACTGTCAAAGGTATTCTGAGTTCTGACTTTAAGTAGTTGTTTCAGGACATCACGTGACATTAAAATGTGGTCATAATGGCAGAGGCTTCAATACATCAATAACAGAAATGCCAGAGCGTGCTATACCACATATGAGAGATCAGTGGAAACGGTAAACTGAGTTCTTCTTTTACGTGGATGCATCCGGGACATCACGTGACACAAGTGAAATCAATAAAGCGCAAGGCTTGACATGTCACTGTCATATATACGAAGGTATATTTATTTCTATGCAAACCGAATGGCTTACTAGTCCAGGGCGATCAACACAAAAGGTCCATGAACAACTTTTACCAACAACCCAACAGGTCATCCACCTTCACTATAAACAACCCAACAGGTCCACCACCTCCGCTATAAACAACCCATCAGGTCCACCACCACCTTCACTATAATCAGCAGAAAGGTCTACCACATTCACTATAAACAACCCAACAGGTGCACCACATTCACTATAAACAACCAAACAGGTCCACCACCTTCACTATAAATGCCCCAACTGGTCCACCACCTTCACTATAAACAACCAAACAGGTCCACCACCTTCACTATAAACAACCCAACAGGTCCACCACCTTCACTATAATCAGGCACCCATGAAGGCCACCTCCTCGTGGTGGGTGCTGGGTAACGCTAAGCGCCCTTCAACCCCCGTTGTGGGACCCGGGGATATTTGGTCCACCAACCCGTTTGCCGTGGGTTGCGCCCCTGTGTCGGTGGAGGACGGGAACCACTCCTACCAATTAACTTAGTAGACAAATATAGCTATTCAAGTCATATTTGCTTGAGTATAACATCCCTGTATCCCTGGTGTTTGCATGCTGGAGACCCGATGCAGTTAGACACCGTCCTCGTTGACACTCCATGGTGGGTGGGGACCAGGGCTGTCGAATCAATTTTATATCACCATGGCTCACAATCATTCTGGTTCTAGTCGCAGTGAAAAAAGAAGAGACGTTTGGAAGCTGAGATATTGTCCTCTGATGATGATATTTCTCTTCCTCAAAATTCAAATTCCTGGGCACGATTTATTGTCGTTGACTCAAAAGATGGACTCCCTTTGAAAATCAACCCTTTTGCTATTAGCAAAGCAATTGAAGGCATTTGTGGCGAAGTAACAAATGCTTTCACGGCTCCGAGGCGGCTCTCTTTTGCAGAATGTGCCCGACGACCACAGGCTGTTAATCTTTTTGAAATGTACCACTTTTGTGTCAATACTGAAGTCACTGTCTCAGTACACCGAACTCTAAATTCCAGTCGAGGGATCATCCGCGACAGAGCCCGTTGTCTCGCGGAAATGACTGAGGAAGAAATACTGAAAGAACTTTCTGGGCAACATGTGACCTCAGTGAAACGTTTCATGAGAAAAGATGGAGATGCAATTATCCCAACAAATACTTATTTGTTCACTTTTCGCTGACTGCTATCCCCAAATCCATTAAGGCAGGCTATTTTAACATCGGAGTGGAGGTGTATGTCCCCAATCCACCTGGTGTGTTAATTGTCAGAAATTTGGACATGGTTCCAAATTCTGCAATTGAAAATACTCAAACTCAATACTCGAAGACAAACGTTGTTGTGACACAGACACTACAAACGGAATCAGTGTTAAACGTTTACAGCTTCAAGGCACTGTAACAATCAACAGAACATAAAACATGAGGAAGGAACGTGTTGGTTCCCTGCAAACAATAACGTCAACCTTTGAGTATATGTTTGAAGCCAAAAGGAAAAAAAATATAATCTCATCAAAAAGCAGAATGCCCTATAAGAATCTCACCTCTGCCACGTCGGATAGCATATCCGTTGATGAACGGGTCTTCATCTTGGCTTTCTATTGTCGCAAGATGGCTCTCCAAGTAATAACAACAGTAGGCCTGAAAAGTACACTCCATTGTTTAAACAGCAAGCAGAGGAAGCACGTTCTTCCAAGACGACACTTACCATCTGTACATCTCTTTAAATACGAAAGACTAAATTTTGTTCAAGTCTAGAGAGATATGTCTGCACATACTTTTTATCAGTGACAGAAAAGTGATTTGTAAAATACATGTCCACATCTGCTTTTCTGACTCAGTTGGAATAATTTAAATTTTCGAGTTAACTGTTTTGAGCAATTTGTTTCAGTACATTGTATACAAACAACTATGTCTTCTGTAAATGAAGTCAAATAAATAGGGTATATCATGTGTCAGGGGTGATGAGACCATCTCATGCTGCAGTTTCACTTCATTCTGTGTTGTTGTTTAACGTTATGTGGTGGCGGTCTGCACATAACTGAGCCTGAACCAGGCAATACAGTTATCAACAGCGTGAGCATTAAATTGAGATACAATGACACGTGTCATTCGAGTCAGCAACCCGGATCGTCATGTATTCATCACATAATTTTGAAAGGCTGAATTTTGTTAAGTCCAGAACATATTTCTGACAATTCTAACCTTCACAGGTGGTCAGAATATTTCAGCTTACATTGTATCATGATAAATACTTTATAAGTTGTATGCTTTTCTCTCAAGGTAATACGGTCTGATGTACGCCTCTTTGTAGCAGTGTCACCCGAGCTGGAAGGCGCACATCAGACCGTAGTACCCGAGGGAGAAGCATGCAACGTGTTTATCTTACCGCCATGTTAAATGTACAAAATATCATTTTATTTCATTTTAAAGATCGCTACTACCGACTATATGACAATTAAACAAAATGGCGTCTGTCTCTCGACTTGATTTTTTCAAATCCATGAAACATATTCTGACAAGCTTAAAACTGCTTTAAAAGGTTCATTATGTTCAAATTGAGAGTGCCAACGAATAATGTATAAAGTAGTTTAAATAAAGCAGTGAAAGTCGGTAAAATAAATGTGTACAAAGTGAACTAAAACAGCTAATCGAACGGTTTCGAACTCCGGTCACTGCATGCCCTCATATTACTCAGCGGAGAGTTTGGCGGTTACCGTGGCAGCAGGTAATATCCTCCTGGGAGGGTGACACGGAAACTTGTTTAAGCGTCATTGACCAATAAAATTAAAGTATTTTACATGAAGGTAAGATAAGTGGGTGGTTTGATTGTTTGAAGCCCAGTAGGAGAGAGTTAAGGTGAGAAAAATACTCTCATGCGATAATACTTACAGCCGCCTCTGGAAACGAACATCTCACGTTTGAGAACCAGTAGCAGGACTTTCTGTGTAGATAAAATCCTAGCGGACATCCCTGATAAAGGATAATATATCACTTTTGAATGGAAAACTGCTTAATAACATTGATTAATTTATGAAAATACAGCAACAAAACCCTTGAAAACCTAAAGAAACCTGAATCGTCGGATACCAACCAGTTAATTTTACCAGCACGATCATAATGAACTTATCATTTCTTACAAATCTACAGACAGATCAAATCCTTATTTACAGATGGATCCAAGGATGATGGTGCAGTTGCTTAAGCCACTGTCGTTGTATCGAATAAAATAGCACCCAGATTATCAGACAACAGTTCAATATTTATAGCAGAATCCAGAGCAATTATAACAGCTCTCAAATATATCAAAACCTATTTAAATATAATAGTTTATAATAGTGTCTGATTCCCTTTCCTGTCTTCAGGCCGTAATATAAGGAATATTTCTAATATACATCCACAGATCTGTGAAGTAATAGAAATGCATAATGCTCATGCTACTAGTCAGGGCGTAGTCTCTAAATGCCTACAGTGACAAATGCCTACAGTGTAGAATAAAAACAAAGTACTGCACCAGTGATTTCAAGCAGCAGTATCTTCTCCCCATTACATAAATGGAACATTCCAACAGACAAAGGTGGACAAATGCCTACACAATGAAAACATGCTGGGGTTTCATATATTTGTGAAATGGAACAATAATTGAATTCATATCTTTACATCTGACAGGGTCAAATATCTTTACATCATCTATGCATATTTATGCTGAGAATTTGTTTTACTCCATCTTCACTAGTCGACCAACAGCACTGAGAAAGTCCAAGGGAGCCTTCACACCAGCTCGTAGCTGATCCTTTAGTCTATCAAGCATGCTGTCAATCTCCTTGCACACGACGTCGTGGCGGTGGTTTAGCTCCATGGATGAACTGAACAAGCCTGTTCCGTTCGGTCTTCTCAGCTTCTGAAGAACCTTCACCAACTCAAAGCTGTTTGGATGAGCTCTCATGACGACCTTGCTCAGATGGGAATGCCACCCCTCGAGCACTATTTGGGAACACTGCTTCTGTGGCTCTGATGGCGGCGATTTCAAAGTCTGTTTGGATGCTAGTTGGCTGAAGTGGATGTCCAGTGGTTTCCTGTACTTTCTCACTCAAGAGTCTCAAGAGTCTGAACAGAGAGTCAAGGTAGCAAAGGTACTGTAAGTCCCCATGGTCCCTAGTATGGTGATCGGCCTTCAGTTGTTGGCGATCTATAGCATGTTTTTATCTTGTATTGTCCTAATAGTGCTATTAATTTTAACCTTCCACACTAGTTTTAAAATCTAATTGTGATATTCTAGTTGTTTTACTGTCCTTCGATGGCAAGTTTTATAATATATACATATTCTATTTCAACGAAAAATGTTCTCGTCACGATATGGCTGAAATATTGCCGATGTGACGTTAAATATTAACTCACTCACACACTCACTCACTTAAATGTAAACTTAGCATGTCCAGGCCATTTTAATATAACTAAATCAATATTCTTCCTCTGTTTTATTATTCATTATTATTTATGGAACTGTAAATACTGTCATTTCTTAACCTCCACTGGTCACGTGCAATTTTTCCTGACCCAAATTTTGAGAAAACATGTCCAAGTATCTTTGGTTTTATGGGGATGAATTGATGTGTGGAAATATAATTCAACAATTATTATGCACAAAAAGGACTTTTGTTTATAAAACAGGCTATTTCAAAGACGAGTAAATTTAAAAACCCACTTTGTTCTCCATAGTTCAAATAACACTTACAACTGGAATGGGAAATACTGCATTTATTTAATCTTTGTCTGTTTTTAAAGTAAATGGTTATTATGAACAAACAAAAATAATGAACATTTAATGAGACAGAATGACTCAAGCTGTGAATGATTATCGCTTGAGACTGTGGTAGATATCTGCATTTAAAACATATGCAAGAACATATTGGTATATATAACATATATAGAACATAGATAAGGCATCATGAGAAAAAAAATATTTAATATTTTCAATAGTGATGTTATATGATATCTGCATTTGTCTTTCAACCATCTAAGAAGTGATGACACAACTACTAGTGTGCTAAATCATAACACAAACCAAATTAAAGCATCAGGCGTAGCTTCTGTATTTCTTCTGATTTCAGAGGTACATCGCTGAGTCAATGGCCCTGAAAAAAAAGGAAAAGAAAAACCATGAATAATTACTTCTTTTTTCATGCCTTAAAGAAAACCATTTATTCTTTTATTGCAGACGGATATTAATTTTATATTAATTTGATTTAGAATAAATAGATATTCCTGATATTTCGTCTACGAATGGTTTTGGGATGTTGAATGCGTTTGAAATATTACAATACATTACATATCTTTTGAATGATTACAAATGTTAGTAAGAAATGGAAGCGAACTAGCATGTTCAACCACAAAAAATGTTCAGCTACAGGTTAGTAGAAAAACAAAAGATGTAAAAGATAAACAGTTGGTTCATTAGGTTAACTGACCAAAAGTAAAGAAAACAACAACATCTTTTGCAAGTTTCTTCACAGTTTCCATTTCCAGTTCTTGTTGAAAACTTTTCTGTGGAGCAACTACGTCTTTTTCAGCACTAGTTGGGACATCGAAAATTTCATTTCTGTAATTTTGTTTCTTTTGACCACGGTTTTTCCCATCACACGCCAGTGTTCAGTATATTTTCCGAGCGAGGGCATGTTCAACCTGACTAGTCTACAAACCCAATCAGAAAGAACTGTTCTTTTCAAACTGTTACAACTTTGAATTCTACACAATTCTAACACTAAGCCATTCTGAATAACTCCACTCGATATTCCTTAAAAAACTCAGGCTGGAGTCCAAACTTCCATAAAATTCATAAACATGACTGATGAAAAGTTTGACTGACTAACTACAATTGAGTGTTTGGATAACAGTTTCGATGTCGATGATGTTCTGCATTGATGTGAGTAGCTCCCTGGTGATCAGGGTTTGTGTGGAGACATCTTTGCATGTAGTCACTTCCTGTTCTTCTTGTACTTCTTCTAAATCCTGGTCAGGAAGGGGTTTGTTGTCTTCCCTCCCCAGAGGGAATAGGCCTCTGCTCTCATGTCCACAATGGTAGTATCAGAGTCATCTGCCCTTTGTTCTTCTTCGTGTATTCCAACATTTTCAGTTCAGGTCCATAATCCTTGACCAGTTCAACTTGTGTAATTCCAGGGGCAAGCCGAATGACGACTCGTGCCCCTCTAGAATGATTTCATATTGGCGTATGAACATCAGAACTACTTTACACAAGAACGGTAACTCTATTCCCGTTTGATTAAAATGTTTCCTAATATCACCCGAAGCACTGGTATATAGTATTGCTGTTGTTTTGGTGTTTTTTTTTGTTTGTTTGTTTTTTATTTTGTTGGTTTTTTACTTATTTATTTTTAAGAATTAAACCTCTTTGATACAACTGACAGAAGGACAGAAACATATTTGTTAAAGACATATTTTCATGTTTTCTAAATAGGGTTTAATATTCACTTATAGGAACTGTTTTGTTGAATATACAAACTGAACACCCGTGTAACCTTGCTGTCACACCTCTGGTGGAATTTTTAAATGAATTCGCTGAAAGACATATGAATGACAAAACAAAGTGAGACCAAAATATCCCCAGAGATGTGAAATATAAACCCGATGTTAAAGAATAATGTTGATTAGCTACATACAGATATAATATTATTGTTTTAAACTCGTAGCGAATTACACATGTTAGAAGCGCACATACAATCTCCATGACAAGCCCGCAAGATCGTCAGAAATACACTCAATTAGACCCATGAGAGCCGTTATGTCATCAAACGCACGTGCATGTATTTGACTCTCTCACCGTCCATGGCACTATCCTTACTAAAATCTACACGAGGCAACATAGTTCTGTTAGCCTCATTCCTTGGGCTTTCAATATGACGATATATATTTTTAGAAGTTGGAAGATAGAACAAGTATATATGGCAGCCAACTTCTTTAAGTATAGAACACGACGTTTCGAACACGACGCTGTTAAACCAAAGTCACTCACTCTCTCTTTGTGGCTTACCACTTTCACGTGGTTTCCTCCATACAGTCAGCAGAGGATAAAACAATATCTTCAAATTTGCTAACAGCGAGATTAAAATCGGAATATATGAGCATTGACAAATCTGTGAGTAACTGACATGACTGAGATAATTTGTTTACGAATCTTTTCAGACATGGAGGAGTTCCGTCTATATGTATACCTCTGGGGTTTGTTAGAGTCAGAAGGAATTTGGTCATAATCAGCTGATTTCATAAAATGACGACATGCTGGCATGTGTTTCGATTCTACTCTGGAATCGACTAACATATAATTGGTGTCATATTGACAGAACGAATAAAATAATCTACAACACTGCAACCTTGCTGAGCTATATACGTAAAGTTACCGTAACTATCTCCAGTTGCTCTCCCGTTGAATGTGTATACATTATGGGTAAAACACAGGTCAAGCAACAGCTCACCAAATTTATTGGGGGTCTTGTCACATGACTGCCTATATGGGGACAGTCGGTTCTTCAGGAAAGGCCAGTGGTCCAGCTGATCTATAGGTGTGGTTTTCTCAGCTGTAACATAAAATGTGGAGCCAACCGTTGGAGTATGCATTCCCAAAAATAATATACATCTTTATAGTCTATTATCGTTGTTTGGAACAAACGTGTCTATCTTAAGGCAAAGGGCATTATGTATGCTGGTCTCCATTTGTTGACAGTAGTCTGCAATTGAGTTGTGCACAAGTAGCATAACTCCGCCCGAGACTCTACCAGCCTTGGCAATCTTATAAGCTTTTTGCTACGTATATCTCATACGCATTTAGTTGAGGAAGTGCTCTAACCTGATCTAGCTTGAAAGGCATTCGATAAAATCCAGTGTCATCGATTTTGGATATAGATCCTTCGGTGTTCCAAGAAACATATTTAAGTAGGGAATTAAAGTCCAGTTACCTGAGCACCTGGTTGGTCTGTTCGTGACATATGGACCTGGCCTAGCTGTCATCCTCCCTAGCAGATCTCCCCTCGGGGGTTGGGCGCTTACTCCGCGACTAACTGCTGTCCCTCGGGGTTCGGGGTTGATGTATATACCCCGGGTCAGGGCTGTAAAAGCGCCTGATGGGGGTGGGAGATGATGTCAGTGTCTGTGCTTTGTTCAGCTCAGGACCTCTAGACACTGGCTTTGACTTGAAGGAATCTGCAAGGTGTATCGCTGTCTTGCATTGGTCTTGTTTCCAGTCTACCGTTCTTGTAGGCATCGAGTCCTTTTACTACGAAGGTCAGCCAGAGTGTCTCTCTGTGAGATTGTTAGCTACGCCTATCCCGCTACTTCTCAGCGTGTCTCTCTGTGAGGATCGTTAGCTACGCCTATCCCGCTACTTCTCAACGTGTCTCTCTGTGAGATCGTTAGCCACGCCTACCCACTACTTCTCAGCGTGTCTCTCTGTGAGATCGTTAGCCACGCCTATCCCGCTACTTTTCAACGTGTGTCTCTGTGGAGATCGTTAGCTACGCCGATCCCAATACTTCTCAACGTGTCTCTCTGTGAGATCGTTAGCTACGCCCATCCCAATACTTCTCAACGTGTCTCTCTGTGTGGATCGTTAGCTACGCCTATCCCACTACTTCTCAACGTGTCTCTCGATGTTTGAGTTCAGAGGTCTTCTCATCAGTGTGATTAAACTTGGACATAAGTGGGCGTGGTTTATCGGGTTTGGAGTTTCTACCTATGCAATGCGCCCATAAAATATCGCCTTTTACTCCACTCCATATGTCGATTCAAAACTGAGCACAATATTAATCCTTACACGACTCAAACGATTCATTTTGCTGTTCAGGTAGACCATAGAAATCTCCTGGACGCCGCTAGTCTATCTATCTCTGACCAGGAGCTGACACTATTTTCTCTAGATTTACGGAGGGCGGTGGGGTAGCCTAGTGGATTTAAAGCGTTGGCTCGTCACGCCGAAGACTCAGGTTCGATTCCCCACATGGGCAATACAATGTGTTAAGCCCATTTCTGGTGTCCCCGCCGTGATATTGCTGGAATATTGCTAAAAGCGGCGTAAAACCAAACTCAGTCAGTCAGTCTAGATTTACGGTAGTTTGCTCATGCCTCGACTTTATTACGCGTATCAGAAATGGATGTTTCTTTATGTGATGCATCTTGGTAATACGAGCAGCAGTTTGAATACGCTCGCTCAGAGTGTATAAGATACACTTCACTGTAGGTGTATTAATAATAATATTGTTAAATTTTCGAATATAGCATTCTACTCACATTAATCAAATTTCGCATTAAATTACTTTACAATTAAATAAATTTTCATATTGAGTTAAAAAATCGTTTTGCATTGAAATATAGTATTTTCAGGAAAGTATCTAAAGTAACTATCGGATTCATAAAATTAGCTGGGTTTTAGGGGGTTGTTTCAAATATTATAGTGTGTGATATACTGATAGTGTGAGAAAAAGGCTGTGCACTTCTTTGATATAAATTTGAATACCTCATGCGGGATTTTGAGGTCTTGAGGAATGGCCAACATGACTGATAGCCAACCTCGTGTTTAGTTTTTAGCAATATTCCATCAATATCACGACGGGGTCACACGTTGTACCCATGTGGGAGTCGAACCCTGGTCTTCAGCGAGACAGACAGAACACTTTAACCACTTTGGCTACCCCGGTGCCCAACCTTAACAACAGAGGATTGTGTAAGAAAACCAAAGACTGTTGGTTGTATCTGTGTAACGGATGCCTTGATTAAGCGACATGTCATACTATTAGCAAAAGCCTTAATCACTGAAGCATTGATGACCATGTAAACATCTTGTTGGCTGACTGGGACCATCATAAGGCACAGCTGGATCTGTCGACGATGTATCTAAACATTATCTAGTCTCCTTGTGTTCGGACAACAGGGTTCGACCGCATAAATATATACCATTAAAAAAGAACGCATAACCCAGAAATTTGTTGCGAAAAATGTTGTATTTTCAAACATGTATAACCCGTCCACAAATAGACTTCAGAAATGATTTTTTGTATCAGCTTAGAATAAAGGAAATGTCTATACAACCAAGTGGATAATTTTACATAACGGAGACACTGGGCGCCATGGTGACGACATGCAGCACGGGCCCGACGTCGGGTCTCCTGGCTCTCAGTCAATCTCTCTCAACCCGTTCCCGTACAGCTTGATCGGATATCCTCCGAAGTCCAGGCACCCTAGCTGCTGTGCTCTCACCCGTGGCAGTACGATCAAGTAGATGTAGTACCCGGATGTACCGATCTTGGACTACAGTGGTGACTCGAGTTCTGCCTGTACGGGAGTGGGTCATTTTGTTATACCTGTTTGGTTGTAAAGAGTTGTAAGCCGTGATATCGTGCTCAGACTAACATTCAAACGCCTGGCAACAGACGATTGGTAATCTCCAGCGTGTAATCTTCCAATGGTGATGTTCTGTGTCGCAGCGTCAAGACGTATGCAGTAGTGATTGGCTGTAGAAACTCCTTCAAATAAAATGACGATTTCCGAAAAAGTATTCTGGATATTTATAGCCAGACAGTGCATGCTCTTTGCTGCACAATTGCAACTGGAAAGAGATTTCTGTTGCGTTTGATCAACATTCTCTTTGTGCAAAGCCAA